TAATCTTTTTTTAAAAATATTTATTTATTTATTTATTATGTATACAATATTCTGTCTACATGTATTCCTGCAGGCCAGAAGAGGGCACCAGACCTTATTACATATGGTTGTGAGCCACCGTGTGGTTGCTGGGAATTGAACTCAGGACCTTTGGAAGAGCAGGCAATGCTCTTAACCACTGAGCCATCTCTCCAGCCCCTGGGATAATCTTTTTGTACATTGTAAAGATGTGTCTCTGCCTAAGGTGTCTTCTGATTGGGTTCAATAAAGAGCTGGATGGCCAATAGCTAGACAGGAGAGAATAGGTGGGACTTCTGGGGAGAGGATTCTGGGAAGAAGAGAGGTGGAGATGCCAATAGAATATGAAGAGAGTAGGACATACAGAATTAAGGAGAGGTAAAAAGCTATATAACAGAATGAGGATTAATAGAAAGAGGTTAATTTAAGTTATAAGGGCTACTGGGACAAGCCTAAGCTAAAGGTCAAGCTTTCATAATTAATAATAAGTCTCAGTATCATTATTTGTGAGTTAGTGGCCCAAGGAAAGTCTGACTACATAGAAGTAGTTGGGAAGGATTAGAAGGTGTGGTCTTGTTGGAGGAGGTATGTCACTGGGGGAGGCCTTTGAGATTTCAGAAACCTTATATGAGTCCCACTGCTCACTCTCTGCAGGTAGGGATCAAGATGTGAGCGCTCAGCTGTTCCTTCACTCTGCTATTATGGACTCTAACCCTCTGAAATTGTAATCCAAATTAAACAAGCACTTTATAATTTGTATTGGTCACGGTTTTTTTTTTTTTTTTTTTTTTTGGTTTTTCGAGACAGGGTTTCTCTGTGGTTTTGGAGCCTGTCCTGGAACTAGCTCTTGTAGACCAGGCTGGTCTCGAACTCACAGAGATCCACCTGCCTCTGCCTCCCAACTGCTGGGATTAAAGGCGTGTGCCACCTCCGCCGGGCTGGTCACGGTGTTTTATCACAGCAACAAAAAAGTAACTAAGATAGGATGCTTACAAAAACAGGAGTTCATTTCTTCACAGTTCTAGAGGCCAGAAGTCCAAAATAAAGGTAGCATACGTAGGGGGGTTCTTCTGGAAGCCTTGAGGCAGCTGCAGGTAGCTGTGGGCATTCCTGGCTTCGGAGCTGAGTTATTCCCTTCTGTCCTCACCCTCTCATGGCTTTTCTACCTGAGTCTGTCTCAAATCTCTCTCATCCTCTTAAGGACACCCTCTCCTCACATCACTGGTTTTAGTATCTAACCTAATCCTTAATCTAAGATTCTTAATTTAATTATATGTGCATAGTTATTATTGACAAATAAGGTCACACTGAAAAGTAGTAGAAGTTGGGACTTGCACAGTGCTTTGAGGAGGGGGCACCATTCAACATAATCATCCAATTGCCACCTACCCAGTCACTTCCCTTTAGTTTTGGGTTTTAGGTTAGTTTCAGAATACTAAAAAGCATTAAAAAAAAATCCCCTGCAGATACCTTGAGGCACCGGCTCTTTGCAAAGCTCAAATGCTGTAGCTATAGGGCCACATGCCATCACAGATGTTTGCCCAGCTGCTGACCAGACACCTATGCACAGCAATCATCATGGCCAAGGTCAGCCAGGCCAGCCTTGTGGAACACAAACAACTTGCTGTGCTGGTCCGGGAGCTCTTTCCAGAAACTTCCTCCTTCCTTCTTTCCTGGAATTGCTTATTCCAGCACTGAGAGAGGATGTCTCTATCCACAATGGGGGAGGGATCTGCAGCAGGGATTGCTGGGATGCATCCGGCCTTCTGGACTTGTACCCTTTGCACTGGGGTGTCTCTAACCGAGGAGTGGCATGAAGCGGACAACTCCAGACGACCCAGGCCGAAGCTTTGGTTAAAACAGAATAGAGACGTGGGTCTTTACTGTCAGGCAGCACCTTGTTGGTGCTGACTTGGCAAATGAGGCCTGGCACAGAGCTGCCTTCAAGACTCTACCTTCACCCCATCTAGGAGCATTGTTGAGGTGATGATCACATGCTGGGCTGCTTGTAGTAACTCAGGGACACCTCTTAGGTTGTCCCCATAAAATCGCCTTGGGCTGAAGATCCTTAACTGACCATGTGCATGAGGGTAGTGTGTTCCTAGAACAAAAGCAAGGATTTCATTGGCAGCAGAAAGGCCACTGGATGGACAGTAACCGCCCTGCTCCTGTCTACTTTCCAGTGCCAACTGTAGATGGTGGTACAAGCTAAAGAGTCTCCGAACACCAGCCGGGGGCCCACAGCTCAGAGGTGGAGCATGAACCTTGGCTGGGACATTCCAACCTTGCTGTGGTAGCAAAGGTCGAGAAACTGATTGAGGTCTGCCTTAGTGCTCTGGCCAGGGGAGTTATACTCAGATTGACACTAAAGTTAAATAATTAGGATTTAGGGTTTTTTCATTTAGCCCAGGCTGCCTTTGAACTCATTGAATATCAGATTTCAGTTATGAGCCACTGTGCCTGCCTTTTTACAGCCACTGTTTAGATGCCTTTGCATCATACTTTGTTCCACTTCAAACACTGTTAAATATAAAAAATTTTTTTTCAACATTTTAAAATGAATATTTATGTATGTATATGTATATATTGATATATAACCCAGGCTTGCCTTGTACTTGCGCTCTCCTCCTGTATCTGCTTCCTAAGTGCTGCTATTACAGAGGTGGGTAACACCATATCTGGTCTAAATTTCAAAAATAAACATTTATTTTTTTTCTTGTTCTTTTTTTTGTACTTTGTTTAAATGAGCAACAAGATCTCAGGAATCTCAAGAACTTGAATTTTAAAAAAAAAAGTTAATTCCTTGGGCCAAGGAGCTGGTTTAGGGTAAAGGCACTTGATTAGAAACCTGCCAACCTGAGCTTGATCCCCAGAAACCACATGGGGGAAGGAGTCAGTTCCCAAAAGTCCTTTGACCTCCTCACATCTCCTGCTGTTGCATGCTGTGTGTGTGTGTGTGTGTGTGTGTGCGCGCACACACACACACCAAATAAATAAATAAATGTAAATGGAAGGCATCTTTTCCAAATAGAAAAGTAAATGCAATAAATCTGAAGTTACCTTAAATATTCCAGAAACGTTAAAAATGGATGGATTCATTATGAAGGTAGTGTTGATGCTTTGGTTCTGATTCTCTTAGACTTTTCTATCCACCTTTTTGTATTTTCTGTGTGACTAAAAGGTGGGTAGCTACTTGAAATCAAGTTGGGGCTGGGGATGTAGCTCAGTGATTGAGCGCTTACCTAGTAGGTGTTTGGCCCTGGGTTCAATCCCAACATGGAGGGGGGAAGCCAGTGTTCACACACACACACACACACCAGGGATCTTGCACCTTGGTCCAGCTGTGTAGCGGGGTTGTGGGTGGAAGGGGTGGGGGGCTTTTTTGTGTGTGCTAGCTTCTCAACAGGCTCCTGAGCATCTATCCAATGGAGTCCTGCAGAGGGACTGGTCTTGGGATCTTTGCTTTCTGTTCTTACCAACACAGATCAAGAATTGAATCCTTAGTGGATTTTCCAAGTTTTTAGTTCAGAGACCTCTGACCTCAATTGGATTGGTGGCCAAAACGTCTTTGCTGGCTTAAGACAATGTTGGTCTCAGTTGGGCAGTGGTGGTGCACACCTTTAATTCCAGCACTCAGGAGGCAGAGGCAGGCAGATCTCCACGAGTTTGAGGCCAGTCTGGTGTTAGTTCCAGGACAGCCAGGGCTACACAGAGAAACCCTGTCTCGAAAACAACAAACCAATAATAAAAAAAAAAAGAGCGTTGGGCTCATTAGTATTTCTAGGACCGCACAATTCTCAGGACATCCAATGTAGCTCTGCCGCACCTGAAGTCTGGGCAGCAGGGTGCTGAACTGGATGCCAGGAAAGCAGATGGTGATGCACAACATGCCTTAGCACACACACCCGGCCCCGCTGGCAGAGAATATGGGGAAGAGAAAGGAGGAAACGTGATTAGGAAGGAAGAACACCAAGCTCAGCTCAGTGAGAAACCTCTGCAGCAGCAGGAATGGGGAAACAGTCACACTGCGAATTCTGCCACAGGCCCTGGTGGAGCTCGGCGGAGGGTTTAACTGGGTGTGTTCAGGCCAAATGTGGTTTTCTGCAGGAAACTGCTGGGAACAGCGAGGGATGGGGGTGGGGACCAGTCAGCTTGATGAAAAAATAAAAAATGCTGGTCACGTGTGCATTCAACCCACTCGTAGAATTGTCTGGCCTTACTTCCCCTTGCTAAGGCTGAAATGAGGGTGGAGAGAGAGTTGTCTGCCTCCCTGGGTTCTGGTTCCTACAATTTGCAAGACCAAAACGAAGACAGGGACAGCGCTGGGATTCTGACAGGCAGAATGTTCGCTGTGCGAGGCCATCCGTGGAAGGATGTTACATCTCCTGACGCAGTGTCCCTGCTGGAGACCGTGCAGTGGGCACTGCAGACCTGTGGATGCTGACAGAAATGTAGCAGCAGGGTTAATGCAGAGAGAGGACCAAGGAAGGCCTAGCGCACAGAGTGCATGAAACAGGGTCGGTCCTGACACTCCTGGGAGACCATGGAATTGACCACGCGCGTAGGCGCCAGTGCTACCCAGGCTTGGCAGGGATAGGTTCCCAAGACCCTCAGGCTGGACGCCCGGATGGTCTCAAATGTGGACGTGACGTAGACTTCAGCGCGGGCACTAAGCCAGACAGCCAGCAAGCCCGCAGCCGGAGACGCTCAGCAACAGCAGCAGGAGCTCCGCGAGGATCTCGGGATCTGACTGCACGATTCTACTGCAGGCCAGGTCCTGAGCAAGTAGGAGACTGGCTGCACAAGCGGAAACAGATCCACGGTCACGCAGTACCCAGTCCGCGCTCGCGGCACTGTCCCCACCCAACTGCCGAGTCCCGGCCCACCCTCCGCCCTTCGCCCTGCTCCGCCCTGCCGGCTTCTACAAGGCTTCACCTCTAACCCCGCCCTCCAGCTATCTTGGCCCCGCCTCGTCCCAGCGTGCCGTGCGCATGGCATATAGGAAGCTGGCGTGGCGCAGCGATAGCGCGCGGTGGCCTGTGGGCGGGACTTCCGGCCCGATGAATCGTCTTCCGGCCGTGCTTGATGGGTCTGGCCGGTCTTCTGACATGAAGGTGAGCCCGGCGGCGGCGGCGACGCCTGCTCGTTCGTGGACTGCCTCTGCTTCCGCGTCACGATGCGGGAACGCCGGGCAGCGAGGCTCTCTCCGGACAGAACGGGCCGAGTGTGAGCGGGAAGGAGAGCGCGTGGATGAGAGCGTCTGAGGGGGCTGCGAGTGTGAGGGTGAGGGAGTGTGTGAGAATGAGCGGTGTGAGGGTGAGAACGATGTGTCAGTGCGAGAATGAGCGGTGTGAGGAGGATAAACAGATGTGAGTGTGAGCCAGTGTGAGAATGAGCAGGTGTGAGGAGGATAAACAGATGTGAATGTGAGCTAGTGTGAGAATGAGCAGATGTGAGGGTGAGTGTGAGCTGGTGTGAGAATGAGCAGGTGTGAGGGTGAGTGTGAGCTAGTGTGAGGATGAGCAGGTGTGAGGGTGAATGTGAGCTGGCATGAGAACAAGCAGGTGTGAGAGTGAGTGTGAACTAGTGTGAGGATGAGCAGATGTGAGTGTGAACTAGTGTGAGGATGAGCAGATGTGAGGGTGAACTAGTGTGAGGATGAGCAGATGTGAGGGTGAACTAGTGTGAGGATGAGCAGATGTGAGTGTGAGCTAGTGTGAGGGTGAGCAGATGTGAGGGTGAGCTAGTGTGAGGATGAGCAGGTGTGAGGTTGAGTGTGAGCTAGTGTGAGGATGAGCAGATGTGAGGGTGAATTAGTGTGAGGATAAGCAGGTGTGAGGTTGAGTGTGAGCTAGTGTGAGGATGAGCAGGTGTGACAGTGAGGAAACAAGTGTGTCAGTGTGTAAAGTGAGCTGATAATGAGGGTGAGCGGCAGTGTGAGGGCCCGAATGTGTATGTGTGAGGTGAGAGCAGGTGTGAAGATGAATGGATTTGCTAGGGTGAGAATGAGTGTGAGGACAGGAACAACTGTGTTAGTGGGAACAAGGGTGAAAAAGTGTCAGGATGAGAGAAAGTCCGGAAGAGAATGTGACCTTGTCCTTGTGTAGGAGTGCCAGGGCAAGCGTGTTAACGTGAGGGCACTTTTGAGCAAACAGTAATATGAGACTGTGAGATTCACAAGTCACTATATAGACAGGAGAGAGCCGGAAGCGATGGCACAGGACTTTAATCCTAGCACATGGGAGGCAAAGGCAGGCAGATGGATCTCTGTGAGTTCTAAGCCAGCCTGGTCTACACAGTGAGTTCAGGACAGCGGGCTACATTATGAGACCTTGTCTCGGAAAAAAGGGGGGTGGGGTAGGAGGAGAAGTGGCAGGAAGTGTGTGTGTGCACGTCGGCAGTAATGAGTGTGAGCATGTGCCAGTGTGGCTGCGTGTGGAGAAGCATGGATCAGAGGTTGTTAGTTGTGTGAGTGTACATAACTTGAGGAGTCACGAGTGTGCAAACAAGTTAGTGGGGCTATAGTGGATGCATGAGCTCAGTGTGGCAGAATGGTGGCTGGCAAGCCCAGCCTGAGGTAGGAGGGTATACAGCAAGTTGTGTGGGTTCCTTCAGGTTTGCTGGGTGCATGAGGCCGCGTCTTACCCTCAGCACACCCTCAAACCTTGAAGACTATCCTGGAACATTTCCAAAGGACTTTCCACAGGTCTCTAGATTGGCGCCAATGGGTCCAAGAGACAGTGTGCTCTTGACGGAGCTGGAACTTGAGCCATCCTTTAGCGGTCATGTTTGCATTGCCTTGTGCACTTGGTCATGGTGTGGTAGCCATAGCCCCAAGGCTTAGTGGGCTGCCCCCTGCATTGCTCTCCTCGTCTGTGAATGGGAACAACACTGATACCTGGGTCCTGAGCTGTGGCGAGAACTTGTGGGTAACTCACCAGGTTTGGCATGCAACATATGGTCAATAAATGTCACCTGGGGTTGTGATCATCCTGTTTCTTATGTCACCTTCATTTCCAACCATGCACTCACCTACCTTTTCATATGAACAGTTTGCTCCTAAATGTGTCCTCAAAAGTAAGAATGTAGGATGACTGTCATGTTTGCTATAAGAGCAATGAATCTATTAAAGAACTCAGAGGGATGAAAATGTGGCCCAGTGTTTGCTTAGTATGTGTGGAGCCATGGATTTGATTCCTGGCACTAAAACACTAATAGGTGGTGGTAGCTAACAGTCAGGCACATCAGTCAGCATCCCTCAAAAGTCTTTTAATACCAAAGCAGGAGATCAGTCTGAGGGCCAAAGGCCATCTTTTTGTTATTGTTGTTTTGATACAGGATCTCTTAGCCCAGCCAGGCCTTGAACTCAACTGCATAGGTACAACTGACCTTGTACTCATTTTTTTTAAGACCTTATACTCTTAATCTTTCTGCTGCCATCTTCCTAGTGCTGGCATCTCAGATTGACCCACTATGCCCAGTCTAAAGCTAGTTCTTTCCTTTTTTACTTTTAAAAAGTGGTTTATTTATTTTATGTGTATTAGTGTTTTTGCTGGGGTGTCAGAGCCCTTGGAATTGGAGTTACACACAGTTGTGAGCTGCCATGTGGGTGCTGGGAATTGAACCCGGATCCTCTGGAAAAGTAGCCAATGCTCTTAACTGCTGAGCCATCTCTCCAGCCTACCCCACTTGTAGTGTTCTCACCAACTTCATTTGTGTGTGTGTGTGAGTTCTGCATGTTTGTCTGTGCTCCGAGTGTTTGCAGTGCCCGAAGAGGTCATTAGATCCCCTGAGACTGGAGTTGGGCAGCTGTCAGCTGACTTGTAGATGCTGGGAATCAAGCTCAGGTCCTCTGGAAAAGCAACCAGCGCTCCTAACTGCTGAGCCATCTCTCTAGCCCCTGAAAGCTAAGTCTTAAAAGAGAACTGAAGTCAACTCTGATTAGCTTCTTTAATCTGCACACATGCAACAGATAAATACACAGTTTGCACACATTAATGCATTTCTTTGTAGGAAGCACCTTACATATCTTGCTTCAAGTCCGCTTGAGGAAGATTTGAAAGCTTCTGCTGTAACTGTCGGCCTCACTAAGACAGTCCTTCCAGTGCTATGGGATCTGTAGCCCCACATGGTTGTAAGCCACCATGTGGATGCTGAGAATTGAACTCAGGTTCTTTGAAAGGGCAGCTGGTGCTCTTAACCACTGAGCCATCTCTCCATCCCTTAAAAAGTTGTTTGGTTTTTTTTTTTTTTTTAAGTACACATAGATGTTTGTGTCTGTGTGAGCATGTGAGTGCAGATGTTTACAGAAATCAGAGAGGGGTGTCAGATCCCCTGGAGCTGGGGTTACAGGTGGTGGTGAGCATCTGCTGTGAATGCTGGGAAATCTAACTCAGGTCTTCTGCAGGCACAGAGCATCCTTTGAGTTGCTGAGCCATCTCTTCAGCGCATCCCATCTCCCTTATTTTTTGGCAAGTGGGCATTTGGAGTTGAATGCAAGGCCTTATGTGTTCTAGAAGACTGCCGAATTACCAAGCTACATTCCCAGCCTTTCCTCCTTATTTTGAGAAAGGGTCTTGATGAGTGATCTAAACCGGCTTAGAAGTCTGTAGTACAGACAGGTCTTAAACTTTAGATCCTTGTACTTCAAGTCCCAAGTAGTGGGGTTCTAGGCCTGGGCCCCCAGGCTAGGCTTCTTTCACCCTTTCTTCCTGTAGGTATAAGGTCTCAGGCCAGGGGATAAGGAGGTGGTAGGCCAAGGGCCTTTTGATGAGGTGAACAGAGGCTCAGCTGCAGGTCTAGATAACAGATATTAGTAGAGACTCAAGATCACAGGGAACCTGGACATACACTCAGTCCTGGACTACTTACCCCTGGTTTCTTATTACTTTCCTTCTGTGACCCAGTTCTTCACCCAGGGGAGAGAAGCCTTGCTTATGTAGGTGCAGAGGCTAAAGACATCCTTGGGAACTAGGGTAGTCACAGGCTCAAACTGGCCAAGCAAGCTGTATGTTTTCCTGGGCCACTGGTCCCAAGCCTATATTGTGGTCAGGTTTTCCCATTCCCTGGGGCTACGAACCTCGGAGTTGAAGCTTCACAATTGTGAAGACAGGGTGGGCGAGCTGGGTAACGTGAGATACAGAATTATCTCCTCTTAATTCTCATTTTGTCATGGAGGAAAAACTGGTGGGATGGGAGACCAGGCTGAGAGAATCATAGATCTTACCCCTCTAAACAGCCAGTTTTTAGAGCAAACAGTGCCTTTGCTGGAGGCTTCAAGCATCCGGTATTATTTTATATACTCTACAGTTTTTTTCCTAAGTCCTCAGTGCCTGAGGTCTAGATTTTCTGCTGGTTTTGTAGTTAATGGAATCTTCCTGGTTTGCCTTACTCAAAGACCACTTATTAGTCATAGGTCCACACAGGTGTGTTGGTTGGTGTCCTCAAGGCTTACGGCCACAATCTTAGCTTTCCACAGGTCACCCCAGGAGCAGTCTCAGGGAAGTGACAGCAACGGGAAGTAGAAGGGAAACAAGCAGCCAGCCTGGGAGGTCCTGGGAATGGGTGGGCAGGCATTGGAGTGGGCCTGCCTCTAAGGTACTGTTAATGGCTCATACTCTGCCTGGCTGCCTTTTCTGGAGCCTTTCAGCCAAGGATTCTGGCATCTTTAGGTGCTCTTGACCACAGAGGAAAACTGTATGCTCACCTGTTGGGCTGGGTCAGTCTCCACAGAACCCTCCTGGGGTTATGTGAGTCTCTTTAGCTTGGTCTAGTAAACTGTGTGTTGCCAGAAACATACAACTAGATTGATACACTTCTGCACACCTTGTCTTGAAGTCCCACGAAGGATTGACAGCCCAGATGGTCCATGTTTATCCAGAATCTCCTAGAACCTAAAAGTGAATTGTACAACTAATGAAAATTCGGTGCAGAAAATAGAGGTGAAAGGAAACGACCCGTAGATCCCTATCAGCTTCTACTTTTGCTCCTTATATACTTTATGTGCGCACTATGCACATAAAAACAAGACAGCTGGGCTCGGATGACGGTGTGTGTATGCCTGTCGTCCTGTCACTGGGAGGCTGAAGCAGGAGGATCTTGAGTTGGAGACCAGCTGGGATGTTCCTAATAAGATCCTGCCTCAAGCAAATGACAACAGGCTGTGCTGCATGAATGCAGTTTGTGGTGTTTTTGCATTGATCACCATCATAGGCACCGTTATGCTCGTTTGAGTTCCAGTATCAGAGGTTTTGGGTCCCTAAGCTTGATTCCTGTGGGGGGGGGGCGGGGGGGGGGGCAACGACAGACAGACAAGTTCTTTGAAATGGAACTTGTAAAAGGAAGGAAGTGTATGGTGGACAGTGTAATATTTATGGCCACATTGTCATTCAAAGGCCTTTCCCAGCGAAATTCCCGCTGAGCCCAAGAGTGAGTTGTTTTCCCAGGAAGCATTCTTAACCCTTCACATACTGAGTGGAGACGCCATCTTAGGTTTCACCTGTGTTTTGTTCCTTTATTCCCAGGCTTTTAAGTATCTCTATATTTGAAACCTCTTCTTGTATTTATAGTGGGACGTTGTTTACTGGAATGTCTTTTTGGTCCATTTGTTTGCTTGTTTATTTTTGAGATAGAGTTTCCTGTAACAGACTGGCTTCCACATCCATATCTGACCTTGGAACTCCTGATCCTGCTGCCTCTACCTCTCTAAGTTCTGGGTTACAGGCACGTGCTACCACACCAGGCTTTTTTATTTATAACATAAAAATTTATTTTTATTTCCTTGGCTGTTGTTTGATCCCAGCACTCGGAAGGCAGAGGCAGATAGATCTCTAGTTCAAAGCCAGCCTGGTCTACAGAGTGAGTTCCAGGCCAATCAAGGTTACTACACAGAGAAACCCTGTCTGGAAAAACCAAAAAAATTTTTGAATATTATGGATAATTATGGGTAGAAATTTGTCAAATGTGTCCCAAATAAGGTGGGTTTGTTGTTGTTGTTGTTTGGTTTTTTTTGGTTTTTTTTTTTTTTTTTTTTTGAGACAGGGTTTCTCTGTAGCTTTGGAGCCTGTCCTGGAACTAGCTCTTAGACCAGGCTGGACTCGAACTCAATGAGATCCACCTGCCTCTGCCTCCCTAGTGCTGGGATTAAAGGCGTGCGCCACCACCGCCCAGCTGCTTTTTACTTTCTAAATGAAAGTTTTACTTATCTTTTTTAAAAATTTAAGGCAGGGTCTTGCTGTGTTGCCCAAGCGAGCCATGAACTCCTTGGGCTCAAGCAAGCTTTTTGTTTCAGCCTCCCCAGTAGTTGAAACTATAGGCACTTGACACAGTGCCCAGCTTTGAAAGTTACACATTTTAAAAACTTTATTTTTATTTCATGAGCGTTGGTGGTTTTGCCTGCATGTATGTCTGTGTAAGGGTGTCAAATCCCCTAGAACTGGAGTTACAGAAAATTGTGAGCTGCCATGTAAGTGCTAAGAAGTGAACCTGGGTCCTCTGGATAAGAAGTCAGTGCTCTTAACTGCTGAGCCATTTCTCCAGCCCTGAAAGTTACACATTTTTAAATACTGAACTCTGGTGACACTTTCTTTTGTATACTTTCTCCTTATTGATATACTTGAAAACTGCTTCTCTGCCCTGGGATTACATAAGTAGTTGTCCATAGTTTGTTCTAGCACCTTCTATGACTTCATTATTTCATACTTCAGCCTCATTGCTGCTGAAGTCTCTTTAGATTTGTGGGGAATGTGGGAGTCAGTTTTCCTAGTTGGCTGGCTGGTTTGTGTTGGGAAGACATCTTTAGACAGCTTGCAATTGTCTGAGGGGACCTGGTGATCTGGGCAGGGAAATCTAGAAGTTCTAGAGGCTTAACTTTAGTAGGAAGGGCTGGCCTAAAGGCCCTGAGGACTTAAGCCCTATTAGAATAAGTACAGTTGTCTGTTCATGCTGTATTTCTGTTCTGGTCATCTGCCTTCATGTACTCCTTTCTGCAGCCCCCTGGACCTAGAAATTGGTTCCTTCTGTGACACGCCCACCATGTGGCCACTTCTTCATGTCCTCTGGCTTGCTCTGGCCTGTGGCTCCGTTCACACCACCCTGTCAAAGTCAGATGCCAAAAAAGCTGCCTCAAAGATGCTGCTGGAAAAGGTAGGGAACTTGAGGTGACCACAGTGGCTAAGAGCTAACTTGTCCTACCTGGCTGGGACCTTTGTGAACCAGGAGTGTCTTGGCTCCTGGCTCCTACACAGCTTTCTGACAAGCTAGCAGCGTGCCGGTAGGCAGCCTGCGTGACTCTGGGAATGACTCTCGCTGAGGCTGTGAGTTTACAGCCTCTGGAACTGGAGGAAACAGGCCCTTTGGTATCATTATCCATCCTCCTTACTCAGACTCTGTATGCTGTGACATTTTCCATCTTCTGTCTGCTGTCACTATTCCATGGTTGTTGAATTCTCTCATCTTTACAGTTCCAAACTGTGTTTCTGTCATGACCCTTGTGATGTTCTTTTGGGACATTTCTAGGGATTGCAAACCCAAATGCGGTCCCCCATCCAGATCCCTCCTTAGCCCCAGTAGTCCCCATGCTGCTGACCAGGCTGCTGACACAGGACCACACCTATGACCCAGGCCTGAACCGATAGATGCTCTGTACTTTGGGGCAGAGAACCCATACAGTGGGCATCTCTATCTGTGCTGGATGGTTTTATGTGAACTTGATACAAGCTAAAGTCATCCAAGAGGAGGGAACCTCAATTAAGAGATTGCCTCCATAAGATTGGATTGTAAGCAAGCCTGCAAGGCATTTTCTTAATTTGTGATTGATGGGGGAAGGTCCAGCCTATTGTAGGTGGTACCATCCCTGGCTGGTGGTCCTGGGTTCTATAAGAAAGCAGACTACACACAAGCCATGATGAGCAACCCAGTTAGCAGCACCATTCATGGCCTTTGCATCAGTTCCTGCCTCCTACCTTCAGGTTCCTGCCCTATTTGAGTTCCTGTTCTGACTTCATTCAGGGATGAACAGTGATATAGAAATGTAAACCAATAAAATCCTTTCCTCACCAATTTTCTCAATTCATGGTGTTTCATCACAGCAATAGAAACTCTGTCTCTCACAGGAAGACCAGGGAGTCAAACACTGGGAAATCAGGGAAGGCTACAATGGGCCCCCAAAGTGTGGACAGAACTGGCCAGCTGAGAACCTGATGGAAGATTTCTAGGAGCAGCGGTGGGGTAGAGGCAGGCATATTAGCATCCTGGTTGGGAGATGCAGGTAGGGCTTGGCCAGTGGGATAGCATATGTTTGACACATCCTCAGTGTATGGACCTATGGTGCCTAGATGCCCAGTGTTCTTGAGTAAATGTCAATCTTCATATGTAGAAGGAGCCACGGTAGCCTCCTGCCAGATCTCCAGCTCAGATTAAGGTATGAATAGCCCCTGGGAAATGCTGCTTTGTTCGCTGAGTGCTAGAGCCCTTCTAAATTAGTCATCTACTGTGGCCTTAGTCCTCTACCTATAAGGTCTTTAGGTGAGTAGTGCCATGTTAATCCAGAGACATGGTCTGCAGCCAAACAGAAAGAACAGACTTGCTGCTGCTCCTGCTGCTTCTAATGCCACAATTCATGGTGAGAACAGATATTAGACAGCTTTCTTCTCTCCCTTTTGTTTCAGACTCAGTTTTCAGATAAACCTGTCCAAGATCGGGGTCTGGTGGTGACGGACATCAAAGCTGAGGATGTGGTTCTTGAACATCGTAGCTACTGCTCAGCAAGGGCTCGGGAGAGAAACTTTGCTGGAGAGGTCCTAGGCTATGTCACTCCGGTAAGTCAGAGTTTTGTGGTGCCAAACCGGGCTGTCCTCCTGGCTGGTGTTTTCTCCCTGGCTGCTGCTCCTGTGAGACTGTAGGAGAGATGCTAGCATAGAAATGTCAGAGGGGAGGGTACCATGGTTTTCTTCGGGCTTGCTCCCTGTGGCTTCAGGAGATTCCCCTCCCCACAGCAATTCCTCCTGAGTGTAGAGAGGACTCTAGGGCTGTCTAGTCGAAGTGGGGGCTTGTAGAGCCCCAGTGAAGGGACATCAGCCTAGATCCCAGGCAGTGGGTTACAATCCCAGGAGTTTTGTAAAGGGAGAGAAGGAAGCCCAGGCAGGGAACTGATGGTAGCTCAAGTCCTGCACTGTTGATAATGATGTGTAGTAGGAGGCCACTTGTTTGTTTCCGACTGCTCAGCCCCGAAGTAATCACATAGTACCCATATTATATGCAATACTGTTTGGCCAATAGGTTAAGCGTATTTCTGGCTAACTCATATCTTAAATTAACCCATCTCCATTAATCTGTGTATCACCACAAGGCTGTGACTTACCAGGTAAAGTTCCAATGTCTGTCTCCAGTTGGGCTACATGTCTTCTCCTGACTCCGCCTTCTTTCTCCCAGCATTCAGTTTAGTTTTCTCTGCTTAGCTAAGTTCTGCCTTACTACAGGCTAAAGCAGTTTCTTTATTCATTAACCAATAAAAGCAATACATAGACAGAAGGCCCTCCCACACCACTGATGGCTGCCCTGGACATGTCCAGAGCATCAAGTGACAGCAGCATGGCAACACTGTTCTTTCTCTCCCCTCTCTTTCCTCTACCAGTGGAACAGCCATGGCTATGATGTTGCCAAAGTCTTTGGGAGCAAGTTCACACAGATCTCACCAGTCTGGCTACAGCTGAAGAGACGTGGTCGTGAGATGTTTGAAATCACAGGCCTCCATGATGTGGACCAAGGTTTTTCCACTTCTTTTTATCTGTGTGCTCTGAGGGCTAAGAAGAGTATGATAGTGTGCACATGTGTCTGTGTGAGTATAAAAGTGTACTATGTGTGGGTGTGGATGTGTTTGTGCGTGTCTGAGAGTATGTGACTCTGGTTATGTGCTTGTTTTGTTTTTGAGACAGAGTCTGACTATGTAGCCCTGGCTAGCCTTGAAATCACAAAGATCCACCTGTCTCTTCCTCCCAAGTGCTACCACACCCAGCTAGGTATCATGACTAGTGAGTATTAGTGTGAATATGTTGATTGTGACTCTGCTGTTATAGGCCTGTAATCCCTGCTACTCAGGAAGTTGAAGCAGGAGAATTATAAATTCAAGGCCTATGTGGGTATGACTCTGGATGTGATTGTAGGAGTGTGACCATGAGAGATGTCAAGTGTGACTAGGTATGTACGTGGGTGTGAGTGGAGGGACATGTAGTTTGCCGTCTCACACCACATGGTCTGCCAGGTAAAGATAGTCCCTGAGGTGATCACCACTGTAAGGTCCTCTGTGTGGTCAGCTATAGGAGGTGAGAGACTGTCCAGTAGATGACAGACTGAAGAGCACTGGGAATTTGTGTCCTTTCCTTCCTTTCTGACTCTAGACCCGGGAGCTGTTGTTCCTTCTCATGAATGTCAGGGCTGCATGTGAGCGTAAGGAAGGCAAGTTGTACAGCTGAGCAGTGAAATGATTGGCTCCCCCTTGTCAGTCTCTTCCTTAGTGTTCTGCCTTTGGGCCAAAGAGGAGCAGAGGCTAGAGAAGGACAGCTCACTGCTGACACCTGCTCTTGAGGAGCCTGGTCCACACAGCTGAACCACGGAATTGATAGGAGAGGGCTACCTGGTTTTGGAGTTCTCCGATGCTGTGAAGACCTGGGAATGACGATGGGAGGAAGGGACTGGGGGCAGGAAGAGGGAGTGGTGTAGAGGAGATAGAGGGTAGGAGTAACTGTAAGGCTGCCTCTGGGCTGGGACAGGAGTGGGCAATGGTCTGGATCTTTGGACTGGACATATGCTGTATACTGACTGTCCCTTTCATCTCTAACAGGGTGGATGCGAGCTGTCAAGAAGCATGCCAAAGGCCTGCGCATAGGTGAGTCCAGCAGGCCTGGGCATGGTCAGGAGAGCAGCCTCAGCCATACTATGTAGATGGCACAACCTTCCGAGGGTCGACCTAGGGTCCTTTCACATTCCTTCCCATCTAGGCTATGCCACTTGAGGGTAAATCTCACCCTTGAATGCTCTGAGCAGTCAGCTGAGCTTGACCACCAACTCAAGCACCTCCTTCTTTGGCTGGTGATTTTCCTGCATAGTCCTTTCTTCCTTCTTTCTTCCTGTCCAGCAAGCGTTACTGAGTTTCCTGGAGCCAGACCCTAGACTGGGCCTGCCTGAGGGTGACCTTGTCCCTACCTTTCCTATGCCTCTGAAGCTCACAACTGGTATGGGGAGGAAAATTTTCCCAAAGAACAGCATGAACCTGAGGACAGCAGAAGAAGCCTGTGAGACTCAGGCTTAGGGGAAACTACTGGAGGCTCAGAAGCAATGACAGGAAGGGGCCTGGCCTTCCCCTCCTGTGGCGCAGGAGTGGAAGCTACCAGGTCAGACTGAGGTAGAGTAACAGCAGCAAGGATCTAGATGAACTGGGGTCTGGCCCAGGCAGTTTCCTGAAAGGTGGAGCCCTAGGAGTATTTGATATGTTAGCATCTCCTTGTCCCCCTCCTTCCTCCTGCCTTGGATAGCCTCCCTGCTTGTCACTGGTCTGGAAGCCAAGGGGGTACCTTTTTGCAAACAAGTAGCAGAAGGTAATTCAGTGTTTCATAGCCACAATCTTTCTGTGTGCTCTCTCCTGCTACCAGTGCCCCGGCTTCTCTTTGAAGACTGGACTTACGATGATTTCCAGAATGTCTTAGACAGTGAGGATGAAATAGAAGAACTCGGCAAGACTGTGGTACAGGTGGCAAAGGTGAGACGTGCACTCCTCAGGACCTGTAAGTGCCCATAAAGCTTGGAGCCCAGCCACCAGGAGCCCAGCCACCAGGCCCCACTTCTCCAACAGGCTGTACCTCCCACTCCCCACTCTCCTACTCATTTGCTTCCCTCTTTGACTGAGGCTCCCAAAGGGCCCACACCTGGCTCCTCTTTTTTTTTTTTTTTTTTTCTTTTTGTGGTTTTTCAAGACAGAGAGTTTCCCTGTAGCTTTGCAGTCTGTTCTGGAACTCTCTCTGTACACCAGGCTGGCCTTGAACTCACAGAGATCTACCTGTCTCTGTTTCCCGACTGCTGGGATTAAAGATGTGCACTGCTACTGTCTGGCTTTTTGGTTTTTTGACAGGGTTTCTCCATGTAATAGCCTTAGCTAGCCTGGAACTCCCTCTGTAAACAGGCTGACCTCAAACTTACAGAGATCCACTTGCTTCTGCTTCCCAAGTGGTGGGATTAAAGACCTGTGCCACCATGCCCAGTGCCTCTTTTTTTTTTTTAAAAGAGAAAGACAGACAGACAGACAGACATATTTATTTTTGTGTGTACATGTAATGGCACACTTTTTTTTAAATATTTATTTATTATGTATATAATATTCTGTCTGTGTGTATGTCTGCAGGCCAGAAGAGGGCACCAGACCTCATTACAGATGGTTGTGAGCCACCATGTGGTTGCCGGGAATTGAACTCAGGACTTTTGGAAGAGCAGGCAATGCTCTTAACCACTGAGCCATCTCTCCAGCCCTGTAATGGCACACTTATTTGTAGAGGGCAGAGAGACAACTTGCTGAGTTATTCTTTCCCACCTCATGAATTCCAGACATCAAACTCAGGTTTTCAGTCCTGACAGAAAGCATCCTTACCTGCTAAACAATCTTAGTGGCCTTTTTTTTTATTTAAATTTTTTGGGACATATCTCACATAGCTCAAACTGGCCTTTGAATTCACGATGTAGAACTGAGGCTGGCTTCGAACTTCTGATCCACCAGCCTCTACATCCAGGACTGAGATTACAAGTGGTATGACCTGGCTCCTCTTACCTGACTTTTTTTCATGGATGTCTTCTTTGCAACCTGTTTCATCCAGGGTGGATAGCATAAGCCCCACTCAGACTATACCCCTCTCTTGCTCATAGCCGTGGGAGTCCCAAAGGTGGGATAGTATTTGTCTCTAGGCCCAGAAAGCTTCCTTTGGCTAAAACCCCATAACTCTCCCTGGGGTGGGCCCATCCCTGCTGGCCATCAGTATGCCTGGGCTACAGCAAGGGTGGAGAAGTGTGGGCAACTGAGCACCTTTGCCCTTCTGGCTGCCATGTGGTACCTCCTCCCCATGCTGCTTGCTTCAGAGGAATTAATGAATGTGTAGTGCAGACTAGGTCTTGCCTTGTGAGGAAGTGATTGGGCTACTTTGCCAGGTGGCACAGCCAGTGGCTTCTTCCTGTCTTCCCTTAATCCTCCTAGATTCCCATTTCTCCTACCTGCACGTTTCTTTCAGAACCAGCATTTTGATGGTTTTGTGGTGGAGGTCTGGAGCCAGTTGCTGAGCCAGAAGCATGTGTGAGTGAGATTGTGGGCCCCTATGTTTGGAGGAGCCTAAGGGAAGACCAAGGGAGAGGGAATAGGCCTGGGAGGGCCTTCCTTCCTCAGCTTCTGGGCTCTGGGTTGGGGATGAGACCCTGCAAAAGGTAGAGGCCTACTCAGAAGCCAGGAATAGCCATGAGGCAGGCAGATTGTCCTGACCACATCACTGTGCTAGTCTGGAGGCCCCTTCTGAATGGCTAAAGGAAATGAGGGACCATCACCCAAGAGGAATCAGTGAGAGAAGGGTGGCCAGGTCTGTGCTACAGATGTCCAGCTAAACCCAAGTAGAGATTTCCTCACTGAGCACAAAGGAGACTCCCAGGAACATTGAAAAGAGGCTGACTGTGGCCAAGACCTGGGGTGTGATGGTCGGTGTCTACTGGGGAAAGAATGTCAAGCGCTTGGGAGTTGTCTGCTGGGAGGAGGCTATAGAAGTCCTCACATCTCCTTGCTCCCATAGTACTGGCCAGCAGACAATGCATCTGACACTCACTTTGCCAGTGAGACCAGGAAAGGAGGGAATCATGGAAAGTGCCCGCAGCTCCAGCACAGCTGGAGACTGACCATAGCACTGAGGAAAGGCCCCTCCTCGATCCTTAGCTCGGGTTCTTTGCCTAATCTGAAACAGATACCTTTTCTAACTCTGCCAAGTTGGGAGTTCTGCCCTATAGAAGATGACATAAGAACATTTGCCCTGTTTAGGGCTGGTGCTGTCTGGGCACACCCTCAGTAGAGGTTTGTGCAGCCCATAGCTGCAGAGCCCAGGTGTTGGGCAGTAGAGGAGTCAGCTCCACTTCTCTTCTGTGTAAGGGAGTCCACTTATGCTTCCTAAGCCACAGCTGGTCCTTTACTGTCTCACAAGGTTCTGGGCTCCCTCCCCTTGTGTTACTCTTAGAAGCTTTGCTGTATACAGAAGACTGTAAGTCTCAACTCTGCCCACTTGGAGGCAGCATCCCCACACGACTCTCCTGTGGTCTGCAAGGGAAGTCCTGGTTTAGATGAAGCACTGTAGGGGTGGGGATGAAAAGGACATTTGATGAAAGGATGTCATCATTCTGAGAGCCCAGAGGAAGGTATTCCTAAAGCTAGGACTGAGCCTTGCCCTTAATGAAAGACCCCAACCAGGGAACACCACAGGAGAAGTGTGTTCCTGAGTTAGTGGGGAACTTTCTGCCTGCAGTGCCCCTGAAGGACCCCAGTTCTGACCTGAGGGTTAGGTGCCCCAGACTCTCAGTCATGTGACATCTCCAGGCCCAGCTTTGTGTTTTTGCTGGGCATAGAGCCCCACCAGTGCTGACTCTGCTGCCAGCCATCCCTTCTTTTAATTCTGGAGACTACAGATCTATTAATCAGAGACTAGCGATAATTCATTTGTGTTTCAGCACATTAAGTAGGCAGCGAGTCACAGCTGCATTGTGTCTGGGCTCCCAATGGATCATTAATATCAGATAGGGAGGTCTAGGGGTGGGAGTCTCAGCATCCACAGTAGGAGGGGTGGAGGTAGGAGCAGCCTGCCTGGGCCTTTGTGCTCAGAACAGTGGACAGCTGTTTGCACAGCAGTCATGGGGCTGAGGCATAGGTAGTGGCCAGGTCCTGAGCAGCAAAAGCCATCTGGTTTGTGGTTCTTTTGGACACTGTCCCAGGATGGACATGGCTGTGGTAAGACACCGTGGGAATGGTTAGGGGGATTACTGCTCTGACTGCCATTTCCTGCCTCTCACTATGACATGCATCTGGCTTGGATTTGAAGAGCTAAGTCAGCCTGTTTGGTACATATATGCCTGCCCTTCATCCAAGGTGATGGTAGGGCCCATGACTCTTTGTCTCAGGAGACAGCCCAACTTTCCCAGAGCATAGTGGATGTGTCAGGGAACTGTGTGACTCATTTCTGGGGTCTTTCCTTCAGATTGCCATCTGTCACAGTCATCTGTTCTTAGGCAGATGCTGTAGACATGGCAGGAGTGGCTAGAGGCCCTTCAGGGGACCTAATTTCAGATTTCAGGTACCTATGAGACAGGTCCTGCTAGGTTCCTGTTCTGCTTAGGTTCCACACCAAAGACTCTTCAGGGAAGGAACCAAACCCCCGATCCCCATGAAGTACCAGTTTGTTTGCCCCTGAAGTAGGTAATGTTATGGGCAGCAGTCTGACGTTAGCCAGACCTAATCAGGAATTAATTCCATTTACAGGGCTCATCTCAGTAAATATCACGGGTCTTATATTAGTAATCTCCCCCAAAATGTGGCTGGCAACAGTGGCAGGGGAAGTGATGGCTATTGATGGCAGCAGTAGATTTTTGGGTTTGTCAGCTCTGTGGTAACCTTGTCTCTGGAAGATGCTGGTCCCTTGGTAAGGTTGGAGAGAAACTGCTAACCAAGTGCCTATTTTCTGTGCCCCTCAACTGGTCTCATCCCAGTGTACCAGCCCAAAAGCTGGGTTCAGTGGCTTCTGATCACATGCATTCGCTACTACTAGGCACAGGCTCAGAGCCAGGCTGCCCCCAGGATCTGTTGACTGGGACTTTTATGGGGACACTACTACTTCCAGGCCCACTAGAACTCTGTGGGGTATGCTTATAGAGTCCCTGCATCCAGAGTGGCTGTAGTGTGGGCCCTTGAGAGGGATGAGGTAGGCTCATACTTGTCTTCTGCAGACCCCTGGAACAGTCTTAGTCCCTCTTAGTCCTTAGGTCTTGGATGTCCTTGGAAAAAGATCATCCTGCTGTTTGTCCTACAGTTAGGCAGAAGGGTCTCTTTGGTGGGGTTGGCTTTCCATATTCCTGGGTTTCTGGCAGCATGGACAGCATTCTCCTGGCCCACCTGCATAAGTGGTGTGCAGGAAGCGTAAGGATGGGCTGCCCCAAAACTCTGTGTCATACTTATATTGTCACCTGCAACCTGCAAAGTATATACCAGACCAAAGAAGAACAGACAGCTGGGACTTGAGTGCCCTTAGCCCCTCATGGCTAGATTTGTCACACTAGAATCACTGATACATTGAGAACTTACAGCTCAATTTGGGCCACATCAGAGAGACTGAAGCCATTGCTGTCCAGTAGTTGGCCACAGAGAGGACTCCAGACTGTTTGCAGAGATGTACTAGGGGCAGGTCTCATGGCCAGTAGGGCACTCAGCTTTGACCCTGCAAGTGTAGAATTTGTCAACCTGTATGCCATTGGAGCTGTTCCTGAAGGTGCAGCTGTACAAGAGGGAGGGAAGACCTCCTTCACATAGGATCAGTAGAACCTCCTGAGTTGCATTGGGCCAACTCCTGTAAGATGGTCACCTTGAGGGAAGCAGCTGGTGTCAAGCATGTCACAGGCAGTCCATTAGAGGCGTAAGCAATGGGCTCCCAGAACATGCACGGAGAGAAGCTGACATTTGTCCTTGAGGTCCACCACCAGCTGCCTCCTCCACCTTCTCATCTGGTTCCCCCATCTCTTGCCTCTGGCTTTTCTGTATCTATCCCAAGGGTCCTACCCCATCTTCCTTCCCAGGGCCCCTACCTGGTATGTTGCTCAAAGTATTTTGTGCTGTTTCTCAGCCTGAAGGTAACTAGGATTCCTCGGAGTCAGTGTTCTAGCCCTTAAGTGACCCCCAAACGCCCCTTCTCTTGGGATACCCAGGTATGAGGAAAGGCAAGCTCAACTGGAGTATGGTCTCCTTTTCATCAGTCCCCTTCAGGGGTTCCCACTGAAGGGTGGTGTGGGAAACCCTGTGAAGGGACTTGGAGTTCTTCGATAGAGCCTAAGGCTAGGATTTTATCTGTTACGTTCTTGAAGCAGTGGGTGCCAGGGAGCCCCACAGTACTCTGGGCTAATCTTAATTCTCGGTTCTTGCAGAGGCCTCATCCACATGCTTACTCACTTGGCTGAGGCGCTGCACCAGGCCAGGCTGTTGGTCATTCTGGTCATCCCACCTGCTGTCACCCCTGGGTAAGTGTACTCTAGTGGAAAACAGTTGGTCAAGGGTCCACCTCTCATCAGCATGAGCTCCCCTCTCCGAAAAAAAAAAAAATATCTGGATGCTAATTACCTTCTGCTTGGTTTGTGGGGTGGGAAAAACCGACTTGCATTTCTCACCTATTTTGTCCCTCAATATAGGCATACTATTGAGAAATTCATCAACATGAGAATCTACATGTTTAGATTCATCATTATCTGTCTCTGGGACTCCAAGACACTAAGTTCAGTGCTTAGGCTGTCAGTACTTGCTATGCTTATAACATAGTACTCTATAGCTGGGGCTACTGAATGGACCTGGGTGGGCCTTTGTTCCCAGCCCTGTGAGACAGCTCCTTTGGAACCTTTGGGACAAGATGTAGTGACCTGGGTACTAAGAGTGGAGCCAAGGCAGCTGGATCCCCATGTCTACCTTGCCTAGAACGTCTCAGAGAAGTCACCAGTGTTTGGCTTAAAAATAACAAGACTGGGAAATAGGAGACTCAGAATTACCTGGGGGTAGACCTCGGGCACAGCAGGCTGAAGCAGGAATGGGACAGGAAAAGGGGTAGAACTATTGCGTGGGAGTCCTGGGAATCTTTGTGGTATCCACTAGCTTCCGGGGCAGCCCTATCTATTTGGCCCTTAACCCCTGAGATGGAAGCTGAGATCCCTGACCTACACATTGAAAGAAAACACCCTTCTCTCTTTGGGCCTTCAGCTATCTGAAATAACAGTAGCTGGATGTGGTTAGATATGCCTCCAGGGCCTGTGTTCTATCATTGGCAGGCTGATGGTGCTGCTTATAAAAGAAATGACTTGTGCCTTGCATGTTGGCAGGTCCCTTTATTCCAAGCACTTAGGAGTTGGAGCAGGCAGAGCTCTGAGAGTTCAGAGGCCAGCCTGGTCTACACAATGAGATGTCTAAAAAAAGACTTGAGTTAATGTAGCATCTGCAAGATGCTTTGGGCAGTCAATACAGACACTAGTTGCTGGAAACCTACCCTGTGTCACCTAGTGCCTCCCATTACTACAGATGATACTATACTACTCAAGCAGACCCACCAGCCCAGGGTGGTTTCCCCATCCCAACCTTGTGGGTACCAAGGCCCTTTGTAGGGCCTGGATTTTTGCCTCTTGTCTGACTTTTCTTCCTAAACCTCTCTTGGCTCTCAGCCCATTGGGGGGGACAGTTGAGCACAGCTGCGGTCTCTCCACATTGGTTTCAGGCTCCTCCCAGAAGTGCTGATCCAGAGTGCAGTGGGCTCTGGTGCCTCTAGGTAGGCACCTGGGAAGTGGAAAGCTTGAGGGCTGTCTACCACTGTGCCCAGGAGTGAGCGCTCGTAGCGTTAGGTGACACGGGGTAGGTCTCCAGCAGCTGGCATCCTTGTCAGCTGCCAAAGCATGGTGCAGGTGCTACATTAACTCATCACTTTCTGAAATTTTGAGACATCTCACTGTGTAGCCCTGGCTGGCCTGGAACTCACCATGTAGACAAGCTGAGCTGACCACGAGATGCTAAGTGAGGAGGAATCCATCTCTGCCTTGGTGGATCCCAGGTCAGGTCTGCACCTGTAGCTCAGTGATCCCGTCCTTGCCTGTGAGAGGAACCCAAGTCAGGGGTTTGTCCAGGGACTGGAGCCTGAGTTATTCTCCATGCTGCATCTTTGTGTGGAGCACTTAGACTGTCTGACGCCCTGATCCTTGAGCTTGCCTAGAACTGGTGTAATGTTGGCTGGGGTGCCATAACTGGGTGGAAACTTGGAGTGGACAGCTCAGCAGCCTGGGCAGCTGATGAGGCTCTGGTCAGGGTTAGGGTGCCAGATTTTGAGGAGGATCTCTCAGCTCAAGCATCTTCACCCAAGCTCCCAGTCCTTTGCTGGAAGTGGGTCCTGTCCTGGAAGCCGAGGCCGACTCCACCACTCACTTTGCAGTGACTGAGGCACATAGTTCTCCCCATGTAGCCATGGGGAGAGGGATTCTGGAGGGCTCACAGAGGGAGGGGGACATCTGTAGCAGCTGGAAGGTCCAAGAGGTGGTAAGAATCTGAGGGGAAGCAGGGCCCTGGACTGATTGAGGCCCTGTGAGTTTGGGGATCAACCCTTCTGCCTTGAGTGTAGTGGGATACTAGAACCCTCCGTTTCTGTGGATGCTCTGCTGGTACTACTCCAGGGTATGGGAGTGCTTTTGTGTCCTCCCCCACCCCTTGCTAGAGAGCCACCTCTGCAAGGGAGCCCAGTCAGCAGCTGTGCCCTGCATCTTCAGCAGGACACAGTCATGTTATAATTCATCTCACAGCTCTGGTGGGGGGCAGGGGCAGAGAATTGCTTCTCAACATCAAATGAAAATTCACTTACATCCTTTGTCACCAAAGGCAGGTTAGGTCAGAGCTGCTAGGGCTGGCCTCCAGCTGTGCTACCACAGCACTGAAGAGTCATGGAACTTGCCCTAGAATTGGGTAGCTCTTTAGCCATGCTGACCTTGAACATTTCTTCCAAGGTCATGTGGGTGCTTTTAGCAATATAAAAACCAGGGCAGAGTGGCAGCCTTAAAGACCTAGTTTAATTAGATCCTCAAACCTGCAGGGGCCAGCAACACACCATCCTTGGGACATAGGAAATACCAAGTCTACTTCTAGCCAGCTTCTTGGGTTTCTCAGGGACCAGTAACATACTGTCCAGAGTGGTGGTGAGGAGTATGGCAAGGTAAATGCCAGGTCAATCACCAACATTTCCTTGGCTTTTTTACCTACTGGGGCCTTTTAGGTTGATTACAGAAACCATAGGAACAACAAGGCCAGGCAAGATAGGCAACAGGGACTGTAGGGTAAACCTGCGCTAAATACCCATTCAGTTGTCCTAGAAGTTGGACAGGGAGTTGATTCACCACCCAGAGGCATGGAGAGACAGGAGTCAGAGGTGGCTAGGGTCACAGGGGCAAGGGCAGGAGGTTTCAGAGGAAAGCTGTGGGACAGCTCCGGGAGGGGTTGTCCTTAAGTCTGTGTAAGTCCAGTGTGGAACTGCCAACTATAGATGATATTAATGGGCCACTGAAGGAGGGAAGCACACCCTGTGGGCTGAGGGATAGCGGACAAAGGTTTGTATATTGGGCTCTCCAGAGTAGGAAAGGGCGCCATATTGCTAAGATAAAGTGGCCTTGGGGAATGATTAAGAGTTGACTCCCCTGTCTCCCCTGAGGTTGCAGGTGGTAATGAGTGAGGCCAGTGGGTTCATAGCTGCATGCCTAACTCTCATAATGTTCATGAGTAACTTATTTTTTTTTTATTTTTTATTTTATTTTTTTTTTTTTTTTTNTGGTTTTTTGAGACAGGGTTTCTCTGTGGCTTTGGAGCCTGTCCTGGAACTAGCTCTGTAGACCAGGCTGGTCTCGAACTCACAGAGATCCGCCTGCCTCTGCCTCCCGAGTGCTGGGATTAAAGGCGTGCGCCACCATTGCCCGGCTTAATTTTTTTTAATTTTTTGAGACAGGGTTTCTTTGTGTAGTCCTGGCTGTCCTAGAACTAGCTCTGTAGACCAGACTGGCCTTAATCTTACAGATATCCACCTGCTTCTACCTCCCAAGTACAGAGATGAAAGGTGTGTCCCCCACCGCTGACTTAGCATGAGCTGCAGCCACACTGTGTGCCCCAGCACCATTTGGTCTTTTTTCCTAGCTGCAGGGTGCCTGGATAAAGGACCACATGGCTGGAGAGGCCTAGCTCAGTGTCATTACAGTCCTTCTCTCTGGAGAAGAGAGGCACTCATCACTGGAAAGAAAAGGTAGCCTGGGTATGACCCCCATCTTAAGCCCTTGGTGGGCACTTAAAAGTGTCTCTCTGCTAGGGCTGAATTCCTTCCTCCTTTGCTATCCCCTGCATAGGGCTGACAGTGATGTGTTTTGTTACATTGTTTTCCTCCCTTAGAAATTAATTCAGAACATGAAGTTTTAAGCAAGAGTAGTAATTTCTATTTATTGGAAGTCATGCCGTGTGTGGCTTCTTGACAGGCTATTCTTATGTCTCTCAAACATGTATGTCCACCTTTTGTCCTGGTGCTGTGGATCAAAGAGAAACAGCTCAGTGGCCAGGCTTCCCAGGGTTCTGGGGCAGGAACAGGACAGGCTGGGGAGAGATGGCTCTAGTAACAGCCTCTGCATAGCCTTTCTTCCTCAAAGGTAGAAGGGGGTGATGCATTCCTAGAGAGCACCCAACGACATAGCTAGAAGGGTGGGAGAGGGACAGTAGGAAGAAGAAGCCTAGTGGCATCTCTTCTTTCCTGTTGATGGCCACCACCCTGGGGGTTGCTCCATTTCAGGTCAGTGTTGGCTGTGTTCCTGTTTGTCTTTGTCTTGTCAGGACTACTTAAGAACATGGCCATTCTGACATGTGGATGGTCCTTGTTGCCCCAGCCTATGGAGTAGGGTTTTATGAGTGGACCTCTGGAAATAATGTGTGTCCCAGGAAAATAGTCCCCACAGGGTCCCATGGTCTTTGCAGCATCCCCACCCACTCCTGTCCCCTGTGTTCTATCTTGCCTTGCAGCTGGGTTTGCCTCTCCTTTGGTGTCAGAACCTCTGACCCACCCCTGTTCTCCAGGCGCTCCTCATGCCCCTGCTCTCAGCCATCCTTGTCTTCTCATCCATTCCTGCCCTGCTCAGTGAGTGTCCCAGTGACACAATGAGCACAGATGCTGTGGCAGCCCTGCCTGGAGAAGCTAAAGGTGACCACTGGGATCTGTGCCTAGAGACAGTGAACCCAAAGGTCAGATGACGGCAAACAACACTGTGCACTGGAACCAGCTGTGCCTGGGCAGAAGCGTGTGGTGATCAGACCTTTGTAATCTACCTTGAACAAGCAGAGTGCCCTCTGGCCTGGCCTTCGCCTCTGGGTGAGGTCTGACTTAGTAGGTCAGGTGCTCCAAGAAGCACAACCACTAGCGGGTACCATTCTAGGTCTCAGGAGCCCAGACAGTGGGCAGGGCTGTTATCTAGTAGATGTTTGACTAGTCCTTGTGTACAGTTCCTTCTGAGCTTCTGACCTGGGGTCCGAGTATACTTGCAGCCTGACCAGTGTGATATAGCAGGGGAAGAGGTTCTTGTTGCTTCAGACTGGATCCGTGTCCCCTCCCTGTAGAAGGAATAAATGTCTGTGCAGATATATCTTCCCATTGATAGAGACCTGCTTTTCTTCATGGTGACTGGTGGGACTGCTGTAAGACTTCAGTTCTTTCCCAGCTTTCAGTGAGGCTACAGATCCTTGGTGGGACTTTGCCAGGTGTAGCTACTCTGCTTCGAGCCTTCTAGGCCCCAAGAGCCTCTCGCTCAAAGCCACACCCATCTGAGCCTTCCTCCAGCCATACTGCTGATCCTTGTCACAAGATAGGACTAGGGAAGGCTGCTCCTCCACCAGCCTCCAGCTACAGCCACTCAGATCTAGAAACAGCAGAGCCTGACATACTAGGAGCCTGGAAACATTGGTAGGTTCTTGGATGAGGGTCCCACATAGGAGCAGGCAAGCTTTTTTCATGCTGAAGTCTGTCTTAGTTACTATTCTATTGCTCTGAAGAGAGCATGACCAAGGCAACTCTCGTAAAAGAAAGTATTTAATTGGTGACTTGCTTACAGTTTTAGGCTAGTCTATAATCATCATGGCAGGAAGCTGATAGGTATGGCACTGGAACAGTAGCTGAGGTCTTTACATCCTGAACCTGAACTGCGGGGGGGGGCGGGGGGGGGGGGGGGGGCGGGGGGGGGGGGGGGGGGGGGGGGGGGGGGGGGCTTTTGAAACCTCAGTTCCCCTCTCAGTGACACACCTCCTCCAGCAAGACCACACCTCCTAACTTTTCTGAACAGTTCAAATAACTGATGACGAAATACTCAAATATAGGAAGGGGCCCTCTCATTCCAGTCATTACAGAGCCCTTATGTTTCTGGATTGAATGCTTGGGCCCCATTTAATTGGGAGCAGAAGTAAGAGCAACTGTTTTACTACAGGGCTAAGATAATATGTTTGCAGAGGTCCAGGCCTGGGGGCATGGGGAAATTGCTTATCCATGTCTGGGCAACAGAGACCTCCATGAGTCTGTGCTGTCCCGTATGTTCCCACTATGGATTGGTTCTGGCACAGGGCTGAGTCCCAGATATGTTGTGCAGCTCTTGCCTCTTTTTCCCTCAGAACTTTCTAGGGGCAAGGAAGTAGGGATATCTCTGTTTGACTTCAGCCCTTATCCTAGCACCTGGAGTATGGATGGCCCCAGCCAGATAGCACTTTGCCCCCATCCCTGAGGGAAAGTAGCTGAAGGTCCTCGTAGAGGGAAGAGAAGGCTGGAATCCCAGACAGCATGTTTGATCTGACTCTGACTGGGGAAGGCCATACATAGTAACCCGAGGTAGATATGCTTGTCTTGTCACAGGACCGACCAGCTGGGTATGTTTACACACAAGGAGTTTGAAAAACTGGCCCCTGTACTAGATGGCTTCAGCCTCATGACATATGACTACTCCACATCACAACAGTGAGTATGCGCTGGTAGGATGCAGTAGGTACAGGGAGTCTTCAGGAAGACACAGACCTGCACCTTGGTCTCTCAAGCAGACATCTGCCTGTGGGTTCTGTGGCTCTGCATAGATGGACAGTCACTTTCTCTGCACCTGAATGCTGCCAGATGGAAGCAGATGGTGTTAGGCCTCATTCTCAGGAGAGGTGATTCTTTGGGTGGTCTCTCCCTAGGAGGTGCTTCGTTACCAGTAACATAGGCGTAGTATTTCTGCTGCTTCTGTTTTCCTTGGGCCTTGGCCCCAGCTGCATGTCTGCTGACCCTTCCTTGCCCAGTATTTCAGACCTGTTCCTACTGCTCTGGGGATGGAGAGGTTACATTAGTAATCTGTCCCATTCAAGGCCCCTGTGGGTCCCATCAAAAAGTGCTGGGGCCACTTTGCCTGTGGTACTTCAATGATATGTTTATGGTTTAAAAAAATTGTAACATGTCCAGAGTCTCATTTTTCTAAGATTTATTTTGTTATTTTTAATTATACATATGTGGGGGGGGGTATAAGCATGTGTGTGGGTTCTCAAGGAGGCCAGAGGTATCAGATCCCCTGGACTGGAGTTACAGGCACTTGTGAGCCTCTGGATGTGGGTGCTGGAAACTGAACTCAGATTCTCTGCTATCTCTCCAGCCCTGTTTTTTTGTTTTGTTATTTATTTATTTATTTATTTATTTATTTATTTATTTATTTATTCGAGACAGGGTTTCTCTGTAGCCTTGGTGCCTGTCCCGGAACTAGCTCTTGTAGACCAAGCTGGCCTCGAACTCCCAGAGATTTGCCTGCCTCTGCCTCCCGAGTGCTGGGATCAAAGGCGTGCGCCACCACCGCCCGGCTGTTTTGTTTTTTAAAGACAGGGTTTCTCTGTGTAGCGCTGGCTGTCCTAGAGCTCACCATGTAGACTAGGCTGGCCTTGAGTTCACAGAGATTGCCTGCTTCTGCCTCTTAAATTCTGTGGTTAGAGGTGTGCACCACTATCCCTGGCATCCCCATTCTTGAGAGGCATTTGCTATAACACAGAAGGAAATGGGTTTAAGTGGATAACCTAGAGGACCAGACTCTAGTCAGACGCAGGGCTTCTTGCTGGCTGCTAAAAGTGGCCCCATTCTCCCTTTAACTTGCAGGCCTGGCCCTAATGCTCCATTGTCATGGATTCGAGCCTGTGTCCAAGTCCTAGACCCCAAGTCACAATGGCGAAGCAAGATCCTCCTGGGGCTGAACTTCTACGGCATGGATTATGCAGCCTCCAAAGATGCCCGTGAGCCTGTCATTGGGGCCAGGTGAGCCCAGGGCCCTCTGGGTCACATTCCAGGTGTGGTTAGTTGTAGACGTGTGGGTTTCAATCCCTGGGAAAAGGGAGAAAAGTTGGGACTGAGAAGGTTAGGGGTAGGTTCCTTTGGGCTTTGCAGACTGTGGGGTCTGAGATATGGGTTGAACAGAAAGCCTCAGTTCTCTGTTGGACACACCCCAGGCCTGTGAGGGCTAGCAGCCTCCCCACATTGTTGGTGTTACCGCCAAGGTCTGCATTTGTGGTGCAGTTGTCCTGCCATTGGGAAAAGGGTTGGATGTGACATGGCTTTGTGCGTGGTTCGTCTGGGCTGCGTCTGTGTCATGTGGGCATGGCCAAGACTAACTCCTTTCTGGTCCCATCATTTCCTCCAATTAGGGTCTCTTCCAACGTCTTGGCTCTGTGGTTCTAATAATGTGAGCCCAAGCATCTGTGTTTTAAAAGATTGCTCCCACGTTTTTCCTGTGTGCTCATCTCCCCACTGCCTCCAAGCTTCAGTCCTAGCCGTTGGGTCTCAGCAGTCTGGTCAGCTCCATCTGTGTCACCTGTGCTCAGCGTTCGTCGAGCTCTCCATGGACTGTGCACTCACACTTTTTATTCTTTTTCGAGACAGGGTTTTTCTGTCTAGCCTTGGCTACCCTGGAACTTGATTTGTAGACCAGGCTGGCCTTAAACTCAAGAGATTCACCTGTCTGTGCCTCCTGAGTGCTGGGATTGAAGGTGTGCACCAGCACCGCCTGGCCACACTCAAGCTTTTTACCAGATTTGGAAAGCATTTAATTTTCTCTACTTTTCCTCCCTCTCTGCTCCCTCAGACAAGAGTGTGTGTGGTACATGCTGGCCTGATTAGCTTGCCCCTTGGCTCCTGAGGTGTGTTAGACTTCTAATGGCTTTATTTTAATTTTGGTTGCTTTCTATTGCTGTCTCTGAAGCTGATTTTTTTTTTTCTTTAAAATATTTATTTAGTATGATACTGTGTTCTGCCTGCAGATCAGAAGAGGGCACCAGTTCTCATTACAGGTAGTTGTGAGCCACCTTGTGGTTACTGAACTCAGGACCTCTGGGAGAACAGCCAGTGCTCTTAACCTCTGAGCCATCTCTCCAGCCTCTGAAGCTGGTTTCTTTTGCCATTCCCTCTGCTATTAACTCTACCCCAGTTTTTGTCTCACATCTAAGAGTTTTCTAGTTCTTTTTGGCTTGGTTTGGTTTGGTTTTGGTTTTTCGAGACAGGGTTTCTCTGTAGCTTTGGAAGCTGTCCTGGAACTAGCTCTTGTAGATCAGGTTGGCCCTGAATTTACAGAGATCCGCTTGCGCTTGCGTCTGCCTCCTTACTGCTGGGATTAAAGGCGTGCGCCACCACCGCCCAGCTTCTAGTTTTTATTTTACATCTCTGTGGATTCATTTGTGATAATGCTTAAGGTCACTTTCTGAGAATTCTTTTTTTTTTTTTTTTTAAAGACTGTTTCTCTGGGGATGTTCTATCGGGAACTCACCAAGGCCAGCTGGCCTGGGTCTGAAAAAGCCTGGGTCACTGAACATAGCGAACAATGAGGACTACTGAGACCTCAAGAACAATGGCAATGGGTTTTTGAGCCTACTGCACGTATTGGCTTTGTGGGAGCCTAGGCAGTTTGGATGCTCACCTTACGAGACTTGGATGGAGGAGGGTGGTCCTTGGACTTCCCACAGGGCAGAGAACCCTGATTGCTCTTTGGGCTGACAAGTGAGGGGGACTTGATTGGGGGAGGGGGAGGGAAAGGGGAGGCGGCGGTGGGGAAGAGACAGAAATCTTTAATAAATTAAAAAAAAAAAAAAAAGACTGTTTCTCTGTAGCTTTGGAACCTGTCCTGTCCTGGAACTAGTTCTTGTAGACCAGGCTGGCCTCGAACTCACAGAGATCTGCCTGCCTCTGCCTCCCGAGTGCTGGGATTAAAGGTGTGTGCCACCACCACCCAGCTACCTTCTGAGAATTCTGACTTCTGGGTCAGAATTGGCCTCCACTGGTGACTTCTCTCTCAATGGGGAGGTGAAGTGGTAGAGACTGTTGTGTAGCCTCCTCTGAGGTGTCAGATGTGCTGAATTTTATTACTGAATGATAGCTATTTTAGCATTCTTACAAATCTGGGGCCTTTGTTTGGGGTTCAGCTAGTTGCTTCAAAACCTAACTAGCCATGATGGTGCATACCTTTAATTCCAGTACTTGGAAGGCTGAGACAGGTAGATTTCTGTGAGTTTTGGGACAGTCTGATCTATGTAGCAAGTTCCAGGCCAGCCAGGGTTAAGTACTTAGACCCTATTTCAAACAAAAATAAGCCATTTAAACTAACCACTTTCAGCCGGGCAGTCGGTGGCACACACTTTTAATCCCAGCATTCAGAGGCAGAGGCAGGCAGATCTCTGTAAATTCGAGGCCAGCCTGGTCTACAAGAGCTAGTTCCAGGACAGGTTCCAAAGCTACACAGAGAAACCCTGTCCCAAGAAACCAAAAATAAAATTTAAAAGTTAAAAAAATAATAAATAAACTACCCACTTTCCTAGTGATTTTCATGGAGAATGCTGTCCAGAAACAGATTTGGTTGTCATTGCCCCCTGGATGCAGCTTTCCTGGCGGTTTCTGTGGAGGGTGCAGTGCACATCAATCACCAAGGGCACTGCCTTGTGCTGAGTGCTGATACTCTATTCAGTCTCTGCTCCAAAGTTTTTCTCCATCCTAGCTCCAGGACAAAGACAGAGGTGACTTGGTTGGCCTTTGACTGAGCTTGCAGTGAGTGGAAAAGTTGGAACACTTCTCTGCGGCCCCTGGTTGTCTGTATTTTGTGGAAGTACACTGATCAAAACTAAGACCGTCTCTCATCCAACCAATCTTCCATTGGTCTCTCCATGGTGGAGCATTAGGGTGAGCAGTGCTTCAAAGCCATGGGTGGGAGTTCTGTCATCCCTACACATCTGTGCTCCTCTATATCCACACAAGTGTTCCCGGCAACAGCGTTCATCACAGACTTGAGTACTCCTGGCCTTGTGTCATGAGCCAAGGTCTAATAGCAGACAAGGTAGGGCAGGGTTGCTGTCTGAGAAGGGCCTTGCACATGGACAGACAGGGTGGGAAGTTGGTCCAGGCCTTGGTGGCTAGCCACCTGCTGTTTTTCAGCCTCTCACAGCTATGTCCTGGGCCTGAAGATGTGTGTGACAGGAACTAGACATGAGTTGCCGCACAGGTGACGACTACTGCTCCACTTGGGAGCACACATATCTATACACGTTGTTCTTGGCCTCCTGGCCTACCAGGATTTGCTCAGCTGGGGAAGGAAGGTACTACCTCTCATTCCTCATCTCGCTAATGGCTCCTGTGAGGCAGGATGAAGGCATGTATGCTCCAGCCTGGACATGGGCCTTCCCAAGGGAAACAATTAGGCAAAGAAAATGGTTCCCCTGAGCTAGGCTTGGCCAGCTGATTGCTTTTGCCAGCCTGCTTGTGCAGAAAGATGGTGCCTGCCCAGCCTCACCTTGTCAGGGCTGCAGTATAGATGCCCACTCAGCAGGGCCACTTCCCCCAAAGCTGGAATAAATAACAAGCCAGACTTACACAGACATCCTCATGGCTACAGAACCAGCCAGAGCACTGACCCTGCACAGCTAACTTCTGCCTCAAGGATACTTATCAGGAAACATGTGTCCCTCACCTTGGTTCTGGTCTATGGGGCTGACCTGCAGGGAGAGAGACCTAGGAGGACACAGCAAGAATGCCCCACAGGCCCTGCTGCCTGCAGATAGTTTTATGCTTGGTGTCTGCTAGAGCCTTTTCTTGGGAAATCTCTGGCTCAGGACTGCTGATGTTCCCTGAGTGGGAACTCAGTTGTTGCTAGGCTTTCAAATCCACAGAATACCCTTCCTGATGTCACCTCGCCGCCAGTGACATCTGACCCCTTACTGCAGACAAGCTTCCTATGCTTACTCCTTATAGCACTCCTTAGAACCTGTCTGTTTACACCCCATGGTCGTGCCTCGGCTGTGTGGTGTCCACTCTTGACTCAGAATTCAGCTTTCTAGGAGCACAAGGTGAGATAGGCTTCCTATTTGGGAGTGCCCTGTGGGCCTTCTCCTTCCGGTGCCTGAACTGGGGTTACTCATCCTTATTTCTGGAAATGCTGTGCTTTCAGCTCAGAGCCTTTGCTCACCCTCTGCCCTCACCTGCTGTTGGCACCAACTTTGTTTCTTACTGATGTCACTGTCAACTGCAGTTGGACCTGTGCCTTGGGTAAAGCAAATTGCTGTCCATACACACTTGTGTACTTATGCCCAGTGACACTGTTCACAGGGTCCCCTCCAGGCCATGTTGTTCCAGAGTGAAGAACTCTCATTCTTTGATCTTGTGTCTCTTCTACTGGGATGTGTGCAAGGCAAGGTGGCAAGACAGGATGAATCCAGTACTGTGACTCTTCTGTGTCCCTGCTGTCACAGAAACTATGTGTTCTCTTCCTTATCTCGTTCTCCTTGTTCTTGTTTCCTTTTGTTTTGGAGATAATCATGCTCTGTAGCCCAGGCTGGCCCAGAACTTACTCTGTAGCTCAGGCTAATTTACGTCTAAGGATAGTCCTCATGTTTGAGCTAGCTCCAGTTCCCAGATCTTATTTTCTATTTAGTTTGTTCTCCCAAATTCTAAGCATTATCTGTCAATCAGTGCTGGGGTGAAGGGTTCCTTCCCCTCGAAATCCCCAGGCTGTGTAGGCACCCTGGCTTTAAGTGGCTTTCACTGACCAAGGTTAGACCTCAGACATGAGTTCCTCTTGCCAAGACAGGTAGTAAATGAGGCTAGTCAGCAGTTCTTGTCTCCACAGAATAGACAGTACTTTTTGGGGGGAGGGGGGCATTCCACAGACATGAGAAGCCCCAGAGGGGAATGTGTATCTGCTGAGAAGCCAGTGAAGATTCGCCTTGAAGTGTGAGACCTTTAAACCTATGAAGCCATGAATGTCTGACTCAAGGTTTTGCTGT